GGGGTTGAACTAACGAGTTGCGGGTCGGCTTGAGGCCAGTTTCGGCCTCCATCTTCTCCAGAGCCTCGGTGGCGAGGTCAAATTCGCAGTGGGCGGCCAGAGCTTTGACATACGCCATGTACAGTTGGCGGTTGCGCTCAATGCCCAGCAACTTGACCTTGTCCATCATCTTGAGGGCTTCCTCAACACCGTTGTTGTGCCTGGCGCATGTCTCAAAGAAGATAGGGATGGTCTTATGGGAGGGACCCTCGTCCGACTCCAGGATGCTTCGGAAAACTTTCATTGCCTGCTCGGGCATGTCGCAGGAGGCGTAGGCGAGCATGAGCCCGTCGAGCACGCGCGTGGTTAGGTCGACTTCGACGTCGAGTTTGAGCATGTTGTGCACGAGTTGGAGGTGCTTTGCGGATTGGGTGCGAGCGATGCCGACAAAGCAGCGGGCGTATGTGTCAGGCTTGGGCCGTCGGGCGAAGTCCTCGGCCTGTCGCATGTGGCCGAAAACGAGGTAGGCGAGGTCGCTACGGTGGCGTTTGAAGAATGAGGTCATGATATCGGTGCGCGAGCGGACGCCGGTTTCCGGGAAGGCGAGCAGCAGCAGATTATACGTCTCCCAGGCATCGGAGTCCTTTTGCTCGAGGTCCAAGATGAACCCGGTCAGCGAGTTGCGAATCGTCGCCCGTTCTTCCGTGTCATACAGCCCAAGGCGTGGCCGGAGCAGTGCCGAAACGCCCTCCCAGTCGAGTCGGTAGAGGAGCATGCGTGTGATCGCTGCCACGGTCCCTGCCTCTAGCCGTACGTTGTTCTCAAACAACGGGTCCAGGAAGGCCGAGATGCGGTCGAATATCGCATCGTCCTGGCCTGATCGGCAGAGAAGTTTGATTAACTTGTTCATTAGTGGCATGTTCGCGGTCGCCATGGCTTCCGGGTCCTGCAAATCATCCATGGAGCGTAATGCCCTCCCAGTATCACCCGCTAGGATGTAGGATTCCAGTTGCAAAAGCTGCGTTCTCGTGTTGGGTTCTAGAGCCCAATGGGAGGCTAACGCAGCAAATTTGACAGCTAGTGCAGGTTCTTGTATCGCGTTTGCGTACTCTATCAGATCATTCACGCATGAGATAGTCAGAGCCTTCCTAGCATTCTCGTCGCCCGCCATCATAGTATTGGCCTTCTCTGAGACGGCAGTTGCACTCTGCTTTTGCACCCCTTCCCAGAAGAGGGTGATGCCCAAAGTCTTGCAGACCGGCATGTTGGAAAGTGACTCGAACACCGATGCTGCCCACGCGGTATCGGAGTTCAACGTCGCATATTTGATAACGGCCTCTCTCACTGCCACTGTGGGCGTCTGCCCGTTCGAAAGAGGGCATTCATAGATCGTTTTTGTCGCGGTAAACAAGTCCTCTTCGATAAGAAGCTTAACCAGGTCTTCATGAGATCTGTGGTCGAACTCGACGTCGAATTTCTCAAGATTCTCGGCTGTCCGTTCTAAACGGCGCTTCTCACCTACCATAGCAAATCCCTTCATAACCACATGCCATGGAGTCGGGCGAGCCATCTTCAGCCTAAACCAGAACCGCTCTAGAACGTCGCATGCTTCATCTGGGTGGCCATTCAAAGCCTGTATGTTGATATACGCAATGAAAGCCGACCGACTGATATGTTTCATATTGGGTGACGGATCACGGCACAATTCCGAAAAGGCAGCGCGAGCCAATTTTCGCACGATCGGTTGTGATTCAGGTAAACATTTGGCCTGTGATAGGACGAAGAGCATATTTTCGAGGGCCTCAGTCGACAACGTTTTCTGCCATTCCTCGGGGTTCAATCCTTCCGCATGAGTTCGCATGTAATGCCAGGTGACGGAGAGTAGGGTGGCATGGAAGTGCGTAATGACACTGGGGGACGCAGCGCGTTGCCCCAAAAAGTCGTTCAAGGCATTGGCTAGAATTTCAAAGGTAGGCCCTCTGCTTTTGTCGGCCATTGACCTCATGAGGTCTCTCATAGGCTTTAGGCCAACCTCGGAGGGCAGAGTTGATGACTGCGGGCTAGTCGTTGGGACCACATTGTACGCGAAGAGCCCGCGTCGCTGGCCATGGTAGCTGGTCAAAAGATCGAGCTTGCGAGGCCTATGGTTCCGGACCGTATGCAGTGAGCGATGGAGGCAGCGCGAGAATGAAAGCGGTTCGTTGTTCAAAATTGCCCGAAAAACTCGCCGGGTGAGGTGGGATTGCATTTTGGCGTTGCGGTGCGACGTAGAGCACCTACTAATCAGCAAGAGGGCAGCGAAGGTAGAGATAAGAGCTTGCCAAGCTATTCTGGACCATGGCTTGGAGCAAATAAGTCCGCAATTTGAGGCTGTTGAACAGCTTAAGTTATCGGGATAGATGGATGGGAATGCAAAAGACGCGAAGGAGGAGGGCGGAAGGTCCGATTATTCTCTCGGAGGCGGCTCTTGGCGGTCCTCCCGGAAAGGCGAAAATCGATTTCACCTTCACCTTCACCCTCATTCTCCCCGGCTTGAGACGCAAGCCACAGACTCCAAGTCGCCTTGCCTGTTTACCAATAATGGCCCTCCACCTGTTCTCCTGGTCGCCGCTGCGCACCATCGGCTCAACTTTCAGTGCTGCGTCCGCTCGTCGCTGGAACTGGACCGCTGCTTCAAGTGCTGCCGCAACCACTGCGCATGCTTCGATTCTAAATGACCACAAATGTATGTGACCTTACTGTATGATGTTTCTCTCGATTCTGCGTCAGCCTGCAGCTCCCTTCAAGCTTATATCCAGCGGATGGCATCGCTGACTGTCCTTTGTCGCATTGTAGCTCCACTATCCCGTCGCCGAGCCCGTCGGTTGTTCATCGAAGACCAGAAGGGCGTTAACGAAAGCCGTCCCCTGGAGAGATTCCAGACCCGTGAATGGAAGTCCGGTGATATCTATGCACCTCACGATCTCAGTCCTGCGCAGATGAGAAGGTGGAGAGTGCGCCACTCCCCTCCCACAGATGTCTTCGACTCCCTGAACTTGAATCCCTTAACTATGTACAAGGTATGTGAGACACGGAGGTCAACGGTGAGGTCGTGCAGGCAGTCTAGGAAATCTTGCTAAGAAATATTTGCGTCTAACAGAACTTCTCGATCATGTCCGAATACATGACTCCCATGGGCCGGATCAAGCACCGCAATGAGACCGGTCTGCGCCCAGTCAATCAACGGAGAATGGCCAAGGCTATCCGCAGAGCAGTCGGGCTTGGGCTGATGCCCAGTGTTCACCGGCACCCGGAAATTCTGGCCGCTCAGATCCAGTCACGTTCGGAGGGAGGCAGCACGTATTGAGAGATGTACTTATAGTTATCGCATCGATGGTGTCGGCGGCTGGGATTGGCTTGTTCTTTTTATTCCCTCTTGGGCATTGTTTCATGTTGTCAGTTGGCTTGTTGTAAGATGATTTTGAATCTCGGGCGGTGACCATGTACAGCACTATACTATCTCTCCACTAGGCCTTGACGTGAGGCAATTTGGTAGCGCATAACAGTCAGTAACCTGCGTTTTCACAAAGCAGCTACAGGTAAGGTAGACATCATGGATTGCAAAGCATAGGCTGGAGGGAGCGAACAGCGAGCGGCAAGTAACTTCACTCATTGGTAAGTTACTTGTTGTATGGATTGGATTGTATTTGAGTATCTCCGGCCCACCCAAACATCCAAATACGTACTACGTCAACAAGACTAGGTAAACATTCCCCGCCCACTGCCC